GAAATGACCTCTGAACCTGGAGCTCTCGCTTTTATTCTGGGCGTCTGGACGCGGTGCTCCTCGAAGCGAAGCCGGAGAAGCCAAGTGCGTAGCTCTCGGCGCCGCCGGCTCCGTCGCCCTCCCAGGAGTCACCACAGCAAGGCGAAGCAGCCCGTCACGAGCGCTGGCCCCTGGCGGCCCCGCCCGGCGCTCTTCCCCTGCTCTGCTGACCTTGGACGGTTCTCTCCTCAGCGCAGAGACATGTTGAGGTGTGCCTGAAGTTCGGAAAAGTAAAGCTCGAGTACAAAGCGGGAGGGCAGGAGGATGTTTGTGACAGAGCTAGGGGACTAGACTCTCATGGAACCAGCACCTTTCCAGTTAAAACAGAAACCACAGCCTTCCTGCACATTCCGTCGTGAGGCGTCCTCACAGACGTTGAGTCCTAGTGATCCAGCGGCCTGAAGGCAGGTGCTAGCTGCCCGTTAAAAGCGGATCCAAGTATCAGAACTGTCAGTACAGAACCAAGCTTCTCTGGCTCTGTGCTTTGCAGCTCCAGTGCAGAGTCCTGGCCAGAATGGACAAGCCTCAGCTCTGGTGTGCCGGGCTTGTTGTAAGCTCTCTTGCCCCATAGCTACCGCTTCCCTCAATGACATTCCCAGATGGAATTCATCTTCCTCCATTGTAGGAGCTGGGTTTACATTTTCTTCTAGAAGGAAATCACCTGTGCCAGAAGCCATCAAGGGTTAACTGCGTGAAATGGGGTGTGTGAGTTTTCCTGCCTTAGACCTCTAACTGGGTGACTCTGTAAACTCTGTTTTCTCTAGACAGTGGTGTTTGAAGAAACTTCCAGATGAGGTCAGATGGCTGATTAAGCTCGTGTCCTGCTTCTGGCTCTGCTGCCTTGCTAACACTTCAGGCTCTGCCAGCAGAATCTCACCAGAGGCTTTGTGCCGTGTGGATTCTGCTGCGTCATGGAATGATGGGGTTCTTTTCTACCTTGCAGAACTGTGGAAACAGAAGTTTGAAAACACACCTTTTAAAATGTCCGTTCTGTTTCCTTAACTCACTGCGGTCATAACTTTCTGTTCTGCGGTACCACGTTGCAGGAGGGTGGACAGGAGCCCGTGTGTCTGCCTCTCAGCATTTGAGAGCAGGAGGGACCCAGCCTCTGGCTCTCTTCAGACAGCTAAAAGGATTTTAACGAAGGAAGGGAGGATCTAGGAAGAGCCTCACTTTCCTGGAGCCCATATTATTTCAGTGGTACTGAGGACAATTCGGGGGGGTTGCCATTTCCCGAGTTCTGTCACATATGGTCTCATTGGATCCTCGTGAAGTAGGAGGTTGAAGGACCATCATCCTGTTTTGTGGATAGAAAAGACTAGCACCCAGAGTGTTGGAATGAGTTGCTTAAGGGACACAGCATAACTGTCAAAATTGGGATTTGAACCTGGTTTTGTTTTTGTTTTTTTATCTCCAAATAGTGTTTTTTAACACCTTTTTTTTCTTTTAAATTTAATTTAATTTTAAACACTAAGCTACTCTCAGGCTTTCTGTGTCAAGTTTGTGGGGTCTCCTGTTAAAGGTTACTCAGAGGGTGAATGGGCAGTCCAGACACATATATTATTTAAATCCTTTATCGACTTGAAAACTAAAATTGTTGCTTTCTTGGAATAATTTGGGAGGCAGGCAGCACCGGGTGGCGGGTAGTAGCTCAAAGGGTGTTTGGTTTTGCTGTTGGTGAAGCGCTGCTGTTTGGCACAAACGAAGGAACCCATGAGGTCCGTGGACTGTCGGCTCGTGAGCTCCTTAAGGACCCAGGAGGCCGTGAGAAGCGAGGCCCGAGCAGCTCACCCCAGCTCCTAGTTCCCAGCTCATGACCGCCGGGGATGTGGCTTTCAGTCCAGGTTGTCTGGGACAGGTGTGCTCTAGGAGGAGAGGGCTCCGAGTTTCCTTCCAGAGCCAGTGCTCTCTCGGCCGCAGTCTGCTCTCGGGGCACCGGGCTTGAGGCTGTCACGGAACGGAAGTGGAGGTGCCCCCGAGCGAGAAAGGGGCTCATCGCGGTGTGTGGCTGTTCCCTCCGCAGTGGGCGACCTTGAGGATGGAGCGAGGCGCCAAGGAGAAGAACCACCAGCTCTACAAGCCCTACACCAACGGTAAGACGGGGTGTCTGTCCCCCTGCACAGCGGCCCCCTGGAGCTGCCTTGCCGCGCGCTTTCGCCCCGCTCCCACTCGTCACTGGTGAGCACCCTGAGCGTTCCCAGCGTGCTTTCTACCAGCAGGCCGCTTGACCGGGCTGTTCTCTTGCAGGAATCATTGCAAAAGATCCCACGTCACTAGAAGAAGAGATCAAAGAAATTCGCCGGAGTGGTAGCAGTAAGGCTCTGGACAACACTCCTGAGTTTGAGCTCTCTGACATTTTCTACTTCTGCCGGAAAGGGATGGAGACCATTATGGACGATGAGGTGACAAAGAGGTTCTCGGCAGAGGAGTTGGAGTCCTGGAACTTGCTGAGCAGGACCAATTACAACTTCCAGTACATCAGCCTTCGGCTCACCGTGCTCTGGGGCTTAGGAGTGCTGATTCGGTACTGCTTCCTCCTGCCCCTCAGGTGAGGCAGGGCCTAGCCCGCTGCCTGATCTGCCTGCCCATGCCCCCGGCCCCTCCACTTTGCTCTCCCACTTTAGAGAGGAGGACAGTACCGTTCTGTCACCGGCCAGGACATGTGGCTCTCGGAAGGCTGCACCGGGGCTTGTCCTTTAAGGACCCTCGGATTGTCTGCGTATCAGACGTAGCTGGGTTTCTCAAAGACAAATTGCTTGTCTGGGCTGACTAAACACAGGGACGGGGAACACGATGTTCTTCCTGGCCGCCCCTCCCCGGGCCTGGCTGATTCTGTTCCTGCAGCTTCCTCTCCAGGACAGAGGCAGTATTGATCTCCCAGTGTTTCTGTACCACGTGCTATTCTGAGTATGTCTTGCCGGCTGCTGGTACCTTCGGGCCCTATTTCCTATTGCTTCACAGCGAAGCTGGGCCTCTGCCAGGGTTTTAAGCCAAAGGGAAGGGTAAGACCACAGGGCAGCAGGTGCCTGAGGGCGGCGCAGCCATCAGTAGACCGTCCCGTCATTCCGGCTGCTGCCAGTGCCTGCGGAGAGGGTGTCCGCTGAACGCCAAATCCATGGTGTCCTGCCACTCTGGAAGCGGAACACCCTCTGGTTCTGATAGGCCTGCCCGCGTTTCTAGGGACCCGGACTCCTGTCTGGGTCCAGGTGATCAGATCTTGCGGGGGGGTTTCGTGACACCCAGTTCCATTTTCACGCGTCCAGTTCTGTACTCGGGGCACAGATTTGTCTGCTGTGTTGTAACTTGTCTTCTCGTTACAGGATAGCTCTTGCTTTCACGGGGATTAGCCTCCTGGTGGTGGGCACAACGGTGGTGGGATACCTGCCAAACGGGAGGTGAGCAGAGCACGGGCATCCGAGTCTGCAGGTACTGGGGGACGGCTCCCATCTTGAAGGCCAGGCCACTTCTTTGGGCGTAGCCCAAACTACAGACTCTTAGAGGGAGAAAGTAACCCAACAACAGCAATGAAATAGGCAGGAAAGCTTTTTTCCAGCTGATCTTGATCTGTGACTGTTCTTTTTGCCCTCCAGCCCTCACACTCTTCCCATTTTAAAGACAAAAGGGAGAAACCACAAGCCTGTAGTGTCCAGGGCTAGCAGGTTTTATAGCATGTTGTTGAGTTTTGAGCATTCTGCTGTGTTGATGAATTGGTAAGAGGATAAGACGTGTAGGTAGGGCCTTTTTGTTTGTTTGCTTTTTTTTTTTTTTTTTTTTTTTT